TTCTATATAATCACACTCTTTTATAATCACCAATTTTCTTGATACAAACTGTGTGATTATAGAGGAGAAAGACTGTAGTATTATTAAATTTGTAGTTATTAATTAAAAGTTTAATTTATATAATTAGTAATTTGATATTAATAAATAAAATTATAATTGTTTAAAAGTTTTTATTTAAAATAATTGGTGGTAATTATCACTGATGTATAATAATAAATCAAAAAAGATTTATTTAATTTACTTTAGAGTTAAGGTAAGGCATAGGATTTTAGCAAGATATTAAATATATGCAAAATTTAGCAATGAATTTTTTGTTAGAATATTAGAGGTAGTTACATAGCCGAATTCTTAAAAAAATCTTTATTTTTATTACACAAATTGATTTGCATGTTACATCTGATCATGCAAATTTATTAGCTAATTATCACTAGTAATGATCACTACTGGTTATAGTTAGAAAATTCTTTTTTAAAAAATAATCAAAAAAATTATATTTTTAAAAAATTTATTAAAAAAATTATATACTATATAATTTTTATTTTTATAATAAATATTTTGTATGATATCAATTAACCATCTATATCAACTTGATAGTTACAACGTTCATGTAAATAAATTACATCAGCCAATAGGATTGCATGTAACATGCAGATCCGCAAAATTTAAAAATCCAAACTAAAGACATTAGCATGAAACAAAATATTTTTATCGATAGTGTAAATTAGAATTCTGTGTTTAGAATAGTGAGCTTTCAACAAATTTTTGTCAAACTTTAGCAATCACAAAATGATTCAGAATATTCAATTAAATAATGGAAATTATATTCATTTCTGTAAAGTCAAAAAATTTTAAAAAACTGTTTGTTACTGTAAGATAAACTGAAATGTATGCACATTTTGGTTTAAAGAAGTACAGTAAGGCCTTTCTATAGTACATCCTATATAATCACACCTCTATATACGCACCTAATTTTGTAAAACAAATTTATAGGAAAACCTCTATATTAGAACAATCTATAAGTACATTTTTTAAAAAAAGTTACTATCATTTCAACTGTATAATTATAGAGAGGGTTGACTGTAATCTTTTTAAAATAGAACGTTATGATTTTAATACAATACATAATTATATCCAAAAAAAATTTATAATAAAAACAGACATCAGATAGTTAGTCCTTATACAAATTTGAATTCGAGTTATTTAATTTTCTATAACGATAAGGATCAGACACAAAGTCACTTTACAATTGTGTTATATTTTTATAAAAATATTACGCGATGATATGTAATCTAATCCTTTATTAATATCGATATATATTGAGAATAACTAATAATAAAGTGTCATGGCTAATGTTCCTAAATTCTTGACTTTTATAGCAGATTACACATATGCGTAAGTTCTGCTTGAATAGTTGTGAGATACATATTCGTTATCTTTACCACATTCATAACATTTTACATTTCTTTTTTATTTTTGCCTGCAACAGTCATCCAAATTCCGTTTTCTCCTTTTAACACTTTTGCAATTTTATCTTTATCATGAATTTCCTTTCAATAATTGTATAGATAAAATCAGAAAAGCAAAATTTTCTCCCACATTCGCAATATACTTCTCCTGATTGGAACGATCCTTTTAAACTTTTTTATCTACATTTAATAACTTAGCAATCAAACTAACTTCCACTTCGTTGTCTTCTTTCATATTCTCATTAGTCATACTTTTCACATATTTAACAGCACTCTCATCAGCTCTGTAAGTTTTTGTATATGATTTTCTGTTATCTATTAATTCTTTTAGTTGGATACTATTTAAAGCTTCAATAGCAAGGGAGGAAGACATCATTGAAATTCAAACTAAAATAATCGCAAAAATTTTGGAGTTAATATTTGCTAAGTAAACAGAAAAGTTAACTTCCTTTAAATAAATACAAAAAAATTAGTCTAAAATTATTTACTTACGAAAAGTGTTTATTTTTTGACTCCTTTTAAAAAAAGTATTCGCAAATATACATACAGTTGAGAAAATTTAAAATTTTCAAAAAAATTTTTATATAGATATAATGCGCATCATTTTTAGCAGTCAAATCTGCCAGCCAAGGATTTGACGCATCAATATCTCAAGAACTACTGTAATAATTTAAGTGATTTTTGAACTATTTAATAGATTATATTATAATCTATTAAGGCCGCTTGAAGTTAAACTTTCGTTTAACGTTATCCCCCCTCCATCTCCTGAGCTCCCCCCTAAAATTAAACAAATAGAGGTGACAAATTAGTCAGTGTAGTGGTCGGCACAGCGATCGGAATTTTTCGATTATATTCGGGATTTTTCGGTATACTATATGTTTATTTTTTATGTTTGTTTAATTTTTTCCCCCTCCCCCCGTGAATACGAAAAAAAAATAACATTAAACGAAACTTTAACTGCAAGCAGCCTAAATAGTTCGAAAATCATTTGAATTATTACAGTAGTTCTTGAGATATTGATGTGTCAAATTAGTTACCCTTGGCTGGTAGTTTGACGACTAAAAATTGGCACATATGAAAATGTTAAATATTTAGGAACCGAATATATAAATTCTTATCAGGACACCAATTGTTGTGTCCAAAAATTATGTTTGACTATCGTTTACTATCGTATTTGTAATCGCATCTATGCTCTCGGTGAAGTATATATGAAGTAATAAAAAAAGATTGCTTACTAAGTCCCAAGTCACCTACGATCACAAAAATTTTCACACTGGTGTCAAAACCGGTAAAGTGGGATATAACAGGCAAGTTAGCAAAAAAAAATCAAAACTCGTAATGCATCAACACCCATCACTTTATATGCCACTTGATACCATTGTTACGGAAAAGGTTTATTTGATACCGGTAAATTTTTTGTCCCTAATTTTCTACCTTATTATAGGGATTATTATATGATTTTACTACAAAATTTAAACCTAAAATTAGATCTTAGGGTTAGAGTTTAAGACTTAAAAGCAGAGATTAAGGTTTTTGGGGTGCTGAACATTTTTGCTTAGTATGCCAAATACCAATTGTCAATGCCCTTTTTGAGAAACAAAATACCTGGCAAATTTCACCTCTGGTGAGCATTAAAATTTTCCAATAAATTAGTCCTTTTAATGTTTAATTTTAAATGTAGTTTTCTCATTTTTTCTTATTATTAATTTTAAAAATGGAACGATACAACTTTTTGGCACGTAAAACTTCGATTAATATTAAAATAAATAAAAAAATAAATAAATTATTAATGGTCAAAAAAATTTTTTTATAGCGATCATCTAGTATAAATTTGACCTATCCATTTTTAAAACGGTTCAACAGTCGCAATTTTAAGTATAAACAGAGGCTGTCTGTGAGCTTATACGAAGTGAAAAAAAAATATAAGATTAACATTCAAGCATGGTGAATTCATAAAAATTCGCGTATCTGATATTGACAAGACAAAAATGGTCGAAAATTCTTATCCTGTAAAGTACTTCAAAAAAAGCCTGATATCGACTCATATCAATTTTCTTGTTGGTATGCCTCTAAACAAAATTGTTTCATTGAGACATGCAAGCTTTAAACAAAATAATGAAATATTAAATCAATCCTCAAGCCAAAATAATGATAACGATAATATCTTTATTAAGTAATAATTTATTACATAACAATAATATAAAATGAACTAATAAATTAATTTAACAATTTTCAATAATTAACCGAGGAAGGCACTTAAAAACAATCGTTCAAATTGTTGTCGCTGCCAAAAAATCAACTGCTCTTCTGATATTTGCCCCTACCGAAGAAGTAACTTGCTATGTAAACGACGATGTTGCAATTTATTAGCCATGTGAATATTTTTATATACGTTTATTGATTATGCGATCTTTTTTACTTAAATTTATATAAAGTTTTTTAACAATAACACCATCACGTAGTACAAAAATTTCATCTATTTTTTTTTTTTATAAGAAAGCATTAAAATGTATCTGTAATTTACGCAAATTTTGCATTCCTTCAAATATACAACGTTCATTATTAACTCAAAATGTAGGTTCTCCGCTTCACTCCGGACAATGAATTTAAAATGTGCTATTCATCAATTTCATCTATTTGTTACGCACAAATATACCTTACTTTGCATCAATTTGATTGATTAGCATTAAAAACAATTATTAATCAATATATTTATGAACATTTACTAGTAGATATCTCATTTTTTCACATTGAATTTCAGTAGTTTGAATCTATTCGTTTTTTCTGATCTTTAATAATATTAATATAAAAAATATAAATTGAATATTGTATTAGTACTAGATAAAGATAGTTTTTATTTAGAGTTATATTAGTAATACTTTTAGAGATTGTGTAAAATTAAACAAACAGTTATAAAAATGAGAGAATAGAACTACTAATTATAAATAACATGATGAATATATGATAGCTTACAATCTCTAAACAAAAGTAATAAATGAAAATTGTTATTGCAAGCAATAAGGGTTATTACAAGTAAGTGACAAGTATTGTTGGAGTCGGAATCTTTAGGACATACTGCAAACATTACAATATCATGTAATTTTAATTGGTTTTAAATGTGGATATTAGATATTTCCTAAACCGTCAACTTAAAAAATAACACAATATAGACTACAATCTAATATAATTTGGTAGCTCAATCACAGATCAAGCATAACTTTTAAGCGACAAATTTGTACACTAGATACGCAAGACGGTTTAAGGGACATATCCAATAACAACTTTTGAATGTTACATCAGAAACCGAGCAAAGGTGTCATCACTCCCAATATAATGCCCGCGGATAAAGCTGAAATAATGGGATAAAGCAAGTTCTTCATAAAATAGTTGAAAACTTGACATGCTTTATTGTACGCTCTTCGCCAAAAGGAATGCTTTTTTTCTTTAGTTTTTTCTGGTAGTGTGACTGATTGAATAACATAAAATGTGTTAAGAACGCAAAAGAGTTATAAGCAAAATGTTAATAGTTTTATAGAACAAAAGTTCTTACCTCCTGAAAAACTTTTAAAAAGAAGGTCACGATACTTTTTGTGATCATTAGGAGACATATTTGGGGTAATATTATTATACCAATTATTCAATAATTGGTTAAGTTTGGAGTTTAGATCCGACATAATGGGAGATTCAAAATTACCGAAAAGTGGCGTAGTTATGAAATAAGGATTTTTAAATATTGATTTTACTATGTTAAATGAAATCAGAGTTTTATCATTAATTTTGAAACCATATAATGAATGTTATTTACATACGTTTGTTAATATTAAAGCAAAATGAAATATTCTCATATATATTTTATTATCAACAAATCTCGGTTACCTAGACATCATACGATATTTATTTATAGAAAGGATATGGTTTATCGGACCTATATAAAGTGAAATAATAATCAAGCATCTTTTAGGAATCATTTCTTAGTTTTTTGAATGCTTATCACCCCCGTCACTGATGTTTGCAATGGAGTGAATTTGGACAAATAAAATCTTATTTGGACAAATTTGGACATACAAGTTTTATATGTTCATATATCTGTGTCCTGATGAAATTTTCAATGAAATGTAAACATTGGTCATAGAAATGCAGGTGAAACTCGGAACTTGTTGTTACTATAGTAAAATTCCAGAATTTCTAATTCGTAACAAAATCAAAGGACTGTTATGTTCATATTTCTATCTAATTTGATTGTCTAAAGTAATTTTCAAATTCAATCTGCATGTTAAAAAAAGTAATTATATTAAATAATATCATCACAAATTATAGGCTCCGCTCTTTATTTGGCAAAATGAGTCGCTAAAATGAAATTCAATTCCGTGAAAGACGTTCTTTACTATATGGGTATATTAATTGGATAGCAAGAATTTTAAGTTTGTTTCTGACTGTACACAGTCCATCTGATCTTTTAGGAATTATGATCGGTAAATTATAAACTTAAAAATCCAATGATGATAGGCTTTGTCTTGACAGCACCCATTTAATTGAAAAAGATTACAAAGTTGTATCATAAATTGTTTACGGAAACATACCGATATTTTCCATTATCTCCTATATTAATACTGAAGAGAAGAACTTAATTTTATTAGAAAATGGATTTAATAGCAGAGCTAGAAGCGAATCAACGTTTATATGAAAACGGTAAAATTAATGAGGATGAATATAATAAACGTCGAAAGACAATATTTGATAGATCTGTTGGGTCAGTTGAAAAAAATAATTCTGATTCCGACGGTAAGATTGAAAAAAAAAACAGTATATTTAAAGGATATTCTTTAAGGATATGCTAATTATTTAAGACCTGCTATAATAGTATCTAGTAAACCAAAGAATACGAATTTGTACGAAATTCTTCAATTAAATCCCAATGCAACTGATGCAGAAATTAGATCAAATTATAGAAAACTTGCTTCTAAATATCATCCAGATAAAAATGGCGGCATTGAATCTGAAGAGGTACTCGTCTAAATTTTTTTTAACCTTTTTACATTCACTAATTCAATATTTTTTATAGTGGAACAAGCTTTCAAATGCATACCAAATCCTTTCAGACACGAACAGTCGTTATCTTTACGATAATTTTGGAACAGTAAGCAATTGTAAGTCTTAAAATTTATCGTACTTTTAACAATTTTTTTGTTGTATGTTTTATAAAGATTATAAAGATTGATGATTTCTATTTACTTTTAGCCTTAGGAAATAAAACATCACTAAACCATTATGTTGGAGGTGACGCCTGGCAACCTTATATTGGTAACTTGGAAATTGGCCTTTGGATGTTCTCAATTACAGATAACGGAAATTCACCAGAAATAGAACATATGACTACGCCTGAACAAAAATAGCACCGTCACATAGTTCGTGTATCCAACATCGTCTATTACCTACAAGACAAGCTTACTCAATTTCCAAAGCTAGGAGATTCTTCAGAGTTTGAATCATTTGTGGAAAGTCTTCGTCAAGAAGCTCTGAAACTCTTTATAGAACCTAATGGCAAACATTTGCTATCCTTTTTAGGAGGAATTTACATGACCAAGGCTCAAACATACCTAAATAAGTTTTCTGTGTCAAGCATTAAATATTCTAGCCTTTTTAACAATTTCAGATTTATGACTGATATGATCTCTGGATTTTTTGCGGCTAAAAGTATTAAGCAGATGAACCAGGATGAGGTAGAAGTCTGGATATTTTTTTCTACAAAACTCAAAACATACTTAACATATATATATGGTTTTTTTTTAAAAAAAAAAATGTAGATCAGCGAAGTGATTTGGAAAATCTCGCGGTCAGAAATATCTTCTATCGCCTGTCCTGTGAATCTTGTGACAAAATTCTGAATAATAAAACCAATGATGATTTGGATGTAAAATATCAACTCGCAAACTCTCTTCTTCTTTTGGGAAAAGTGTGGTTAGAAATAAGCAAGCAATAAAGAATGTAATCTCAGTTTTCTTAATACAGTTGATAAAACTTAAATATATATTCTATTAAATTTATTAAATTTATTCATATTTGGCTAATTAAAATTGATACAGTATTAAGAACAAATCGACACGATAGTAGGTACCTTAGGCTCACAAGATTATACGTATCAATTCATTGGCCTTGTTCAGGTTGACAAATCTTTAAAAAAATTTAATACGTATTAGTTTTAAAATTTGTTTTGCGATCACTTTAAGATTCACAAAACTAATTGATTGACTATTGAGCAATTATTTCTTATAAGTCATGTACAAGTAAAATGTTGTCAAAATTGCTTTTTGATAAAATTGCAATATAAGAATAAAATACCATTAGTCATAGTTGCGCATCAATCTAGTGAACGTTTCCAGATGATAATTTTTTCATTTGATAAAATTACAGATTAAATTTTTACAGACAACACAGATTTTATCGCAAGAGCCAGACACAGTATCTGAAATCCAATTTTTAGCTAGTTGCGGCCGCAACTAAATTAAAAATATACTTGCGGATTATATGAATTTAGTTGCAAATATGAATATATCTATGCGCAAATTTGAACATATATATATGCAAATTCACAAAATTCATTTGCGGAACCGCATATTCATTTCAGATTTTAGTTGCGGAAAATTATAAATCATTTGAGCTCCGCAACCCAATTCACTGGCCGGAAATCAGTTGAATTAATAAGAATAATGTTATAAATTCTACAGTCTGATTTTTCTGCTAGAATCAATTAACAAATATAAGTCAAATTAAAAAAATATTCATTGTAATATCTAAATTAACGATGCGAGAAATAAAAGAGATACCGACCTGATTATTCCAGAGATATTTGTTCGATATACGTATACAGTAATACCGATCATATACATGACAAACTAACCAATAATATTTATACACATGATTGGACATGCATTTCTATTTAATAGAAAGACTGCTGAATTTTAAAGTATTTAGAGACCATTAAACCAACTAGCAAGATGACCCATTTTATATGCTGGAACTTATTATGTTCTTACATCATAATTTTAGGGATAATCAGTCCTTGTTTTCATTGTTCTCATCGATAATCTATACATTAATGCAATTCATCAAAGATCAGTACAAACTTCTGATAAGCCTAAATATAAAGCTCAATTTAATGTTGTGTTAGTTCAATTAAGACATAATTTTTTGGTTTTCTGTATGTTATAGTATTGAACTTGTATAGTTATCATTTTGAGAGTTACTTAAATAGTGAGTGAAGACATTCTATAAATCAATTGCACTCTGTCAAATTATTCTCTGCTCTAGATTTATTTTTTAATATTAATTAGATAAATTTCTTTATTTTTGTAATCTAAGAATTTATCGAAACAAAAAAATAAATTTCAACATGCCAAAAAAAAGTATTTTCACGATTATCAATTAACAGCTTGTTAGAATATTTTAACCACTGATTTAGGCATTCAAATAATAAACTTAATTTAGATCTAAGTTTCGAAATGCTAAAATTAGGTTCAGTTGAACTGGGAAGTTGTGCATTTGAAATTTAGTAGAGTAAGCCTTGATGGCCTTCACTACGCTCTCTCATCTCCAGGACTTTAGTCATAATGAAATATGTGCATGTAATTACAGGCAATTATATACATTACATGAAGAACTGTCGTGACATATTAGGATTTGAACGGAAGGTCTTATTTACTATAAGCACAAGCTGTCGTGAAATACAAGAAAATGAAATGATAAAAACGGCAGTTTCATCAAAATACTTAGATGTAAAATAAGATTTGTATTATATGTTTTTTTAAATAAAAGATAAAAAAAATCAGAGTTACATGTTGATAACATAAAATGAAATCTTAGAAATCTTCGAACTAATAGATCCCATTTGCCCGTACGTTGTTGTTGTTCCTGTTTCTAGTGGAATTGTTGTTCCTGTTTCTAGTGGAATTGTTGTTGCTATTTCTACTGGAATCATAATTCATTGAAAAGTTCAAAAGAAAACAAACATAAAGAAATAGAAATTTCAAATATTGAAAAGTATAATAAAATGTATACTCTACAAATTTGAAGGTACCTAACAGCGTATAACTTATAAGTTGATAGATAAAAAGAATTAAAAAATACAAAAATTGATAAAGACAAAAAATTGGAAAGTACAAAATTTGAAGTGTTCTATCTTCCATTAGTATATCTTTAATATGCTTGATCTAAAAAAAAGAATATTCAACTTTTTGTAAAATTTAAACAGTTTTAATATGTAACTAAATATACAACCAAAATGTACAAAAAATATATAACAAAATATTATATTGATTGTTCAAAAAAATTTGGTTTAAAAGCACAAACAATTAAGAATTCTTGTTTTCAAATGTTTGATCTGATACTTACTTTTTAAAAATGTTGTAAGTGTAGTTGCGTTATTTAGAATTATTTATCTTTGAATTTAATCAAGATTTTCTGAAATTTTTCAGACATTCACAAACTGATAATGTTGGAGAGTACACGTGTCAACTGTAATCGATATTTCTGATTTTAAAGACATGATATTAATAATAACTCACTAATAATATTATTATAATTTGTTTCTTGAAGTAATGAGGTTTCTGATTTTAAAATGATATATAATTCTAAACAAATAATAAGGTTTTTATGTGTCTGTATATGGAGTTATGTTATTACAAATTTTGTAAATTAATAAAAATTTTAAAGATATTGGGTCTAAATACTCACATACTAACAATTTTATGTGCGAATGTATGATTTTGAGTGAAGCGAAAGTCACTTGTAACGTATAAGGATGTATATGGATTTGATGTGTCTGACAGGCACATCTATAAATTTTATTCGTACTATAATTCAAATCAAATCATTTGTGAAAGTTTTTATTTCTTAATCATGAATGTTTGTCTTCAAATATATATATACCAACCAAAAGCTCTGCTCAATCATATAATTTGAAATTTTCTTTTATCAAAACGTACGTAAGTTTTGGGGGTAACCACATATATATAGTATATACCAACAAAAGGCACTAACCGTAAATAGCATATAAATCGATTGAATTTGGCAGCTGTATAAGTAATCACACCTAGAAACGTATGATATAATTACTATACACTTTTATGGATAATCATATGTTTCTATATCTAGAATACATGCCGGTTTACTCCAGCTTAAACATCATTATTTAGATAACGAGAACAAAATTTTGAATTCTATTTTCAGAAAGATCATATTTTCTCATTCTAGTGAATGATTACGTTTTAAATACGTATTTCTGATTTAGCCGGTTAGTTTTTAAATTTATAAAAATGGCAAAAAATTCATGTGACTAAATACTTTTTGGTAATATTTCGCTTACATTTTTAATTTTTGGGATTACTTTTAATTTTCAACTTTGAGCACATCGAAGAAAAAATGCTAGCGAAATATCTTCAGCTTCAGTAAATCCAAAGTATGATTTTAGCAGGAAAAATCTTTCCAAATTAGAAAAAAAAATTCAAATTATTTTACCTTGATTTTACTATTGACTGATAATTTGAATCAAGAATGTCAGAATTGTTTTGTGGCTAAATCTGACAATTTAATAACCAACCAGTTGATTTACAAAGGTTTGACGCACGTTAAGCGAGTTTTTAATTTTCCAAAATTCCCATTGGACGCGTAGGAATCTGGGAATCTAGTTCCTGATTTACAAAATAAATTACGGCTAATGTTTGAACATTCTGATCACCATAAAATCAAAAAATTTCGCCACCAGCGTAATCTAAATTTTATTCTGATTTTATGGATGAACCTAGCGTAGTCACCAAGATCATTTATGTACGGAGGTTAAATACGTATAATTTTTACGTAAATGATATGAGTGGTTATGCTAAAGGGGTTGATTTTAGGATTACTAGCATAAGACCCGTCGCGTTGCTCCGGATTAAAGTATCATTTATATTATAGCACACATATATAATTACGATATTGGTTTCTCAAATAATACTGTACACAATTA